AATATTAAATATAATATTAAATATAAATAATTATTATAATTTTTCTTAGTTACTTATATATAGCTTATTTATTGATGTACTTACGCATCTCTGTTACGAGTCTGAATTATTAATTGTATGTCCGCATATCATATATATCGTTGTGTATTATGTGGATGGAGAATGCATCATTGTGTATCAAAATTTTATTACAATATGCAAAGGTGCATTGTACAGTATCATTAAATTGATATACAACGATAATACGGTACGTGGATATGCAACAAATCTGTACCCGCTTTAAGAAACTTACACCTTCGCTATTTTGAAGATTCGCCATGAGCACGAATGAAATAAAGAAAATCGTACTAGTGCCTTTCATTCTTATTTGTTGCCTTTGATTTTGTTTGTTCATTTAATCTCTTTTTTAGCACGATATAGATGAATCGCCACTAGACTTGACTGTTGCAAACCGCACACAAAATTCATTCGTTTATTTTTATATACGGAAGTAAGGGAGAAGGAGAATCTTTAATTTCATGAGGTGGCACATGTGATATGCTTAAATTATCGTTTTGGTTGATGTAATTAACGATACTTAACGCTAATACTGACATCCGGGTCTTATTGTCATTCCTAGAGGTTAGATAATCATAGTACATTATGCAAGTGCGTTACTTTCGGTCTCGTGATTATGTATTAGACGATGCAAAATGCATAAAAGAATAGATATCAAAAAAACAAAATAATTTTTATCCTTAAAAATAATATTTACCTATAATTAAGTATAATTTTTTAGCTATAACATTAATTTTAACATTTTCAGCTTTTCCTTTTATAACATACCTCTTTTCGATTATTATATTTCTATAATAACGTGAAATTATTATTTTTATTGTCATTTTCTTTTAATTTTAGTTTTATATGTCTTAGTTTTAAAATTTTAGTGAAGAAAGTAAAAGGTTTTTAATAATACTGTTGAGAGTATACATAAAAAAATATGTTTATTAGAATTTTGAAAAACAAATCATTAATTTAAAAAGTAAAAAAATATGTAACACATGCACATAGAATAAGAAATAAAAGAATATACAAATATACATATAGAAGTAGAATATATTGGCTTGCTTTTAGAGAATAATTTCTTTTTAGCAAGATACTGTTTAAATTATGCTAACTAATTAGAAAAAGTTGATAATTAAAACTGTATCCAAAATGTAATCACACACACACACACACACACACACACACACACACACACACAAAGATTTAAATTTTGTTTGATTTATATATTCTTTTATTATAAATATAATTTACTATAATATTGTCATAATTATAATGAAGACGTTAATGACCGTTATCGTAATGCTGCGGTTTTGTTTAAAATCAATCAGTTAATTTTAATAATTAAATAATGCTTAATAATTGCACATTGCTTATTATTATTATTAACATATAATTATATATAATTATATACGACCATATAGTATTGTATATTGCGCCTTGTCTCTTATCATGTTACGAATCTATCAGTTTACAAATTTATTAACGATTATTGTCTTGACGCAAAGGATTGAAATTAATACAATTTTACAATTTATATAACACGCTAATTACACACATTTTCATTGTATATAATGTATCATATTCTATTTCCATAATTATTTGCGTTTGATATCGGTTAAGGAAAGAAGAAGTGATCCGAATCCGTTTGGTAGCTGCATTTTACAAATTGATAAGTTGTTTCGCAATCATCGCCAGTAGGTGCTGTAAAAACAAAAGAATTTCATTTACACATCTACTTTTATGTTGTAATTTATTTTTATTAATTACTAATTAACTAATAGATTAAAACTATTTCTTAATAAAAATCTCTATGCGAAGTTGTCAAAGATAATATTGATAAAGCCTTTTATGAAGAATTAAACAGAAGTTAATTTTACGGCTGACAAAGACGAAAGCCTCTTTAAATTTGTTTTTCAACAAATTTGTTTTTAAGATTAAAAAAAAAACAAGATTTTAAGGAGGCTTTCATCTTTATCGGCCGTAAAATTAGCTTATGTTTAATTCTTCATAAAAGGCATTTTTCGCCAGTTTTGGCTTGTTTTGAGGAAAATAACGTGCGATAATTTGCGTCTCTCTTTTCTTAAATTCTTTATCTTTATTTAAAATTTATTTCAATTTTTATTTCATAAAATTAAACTTACTTTGTTCTGCTGCACATTTAATCAAAGACACTTTTAAAGGACCCGCCATGTCAGGTGGCATCATTAGATCCATTTGTTTAATCATCATGCCTTCATCTATGCGTCCATTTTTGAACTTAATTGTAAAGAAGATGCATTTAAATAATTATGTAAATAAATTGATATTGAATAATAATAAATTAATATAATATTTTGCATTATTATAATAAATTCTTTAATAATCATAATTTAATAACTTTAAATATATTAACATATTTTATCATGAAGCTAACGTGCTTAAAATTAAACATTAAAATAAATTTTTTCTTAATAATAATATTTAATTATATTTAATTGTATATTTTATTTATTATTATATTAAGTAAGGTAACTATATATCCCAATACAATTTAACATTTAACATTATTTGTCGTTTGTAGACAGTTAAATGAATAGTTAAATCTTTACTTCACATGTAAATATTGAAAAATGTCTCATATTTTCAGTTATTGTTAAAAAATGTTTCTTATTTTTGATCGGATCACCAGTTTTCAATATTGGACTCAGCAAAAATCGTAATAATTAAGTAGGCTGTATTGTATAATTATACTTTTCCTTGTTCTTACAGTTCGCATTGTCTTCATTATACACAGTGTATAGCATTTTAATGGTTGATTGTCATCTGGGAATTCGCCTTTTTGTATGGCTGCAACAGCTCCTATAAAGACAGAAAATATAAAAAAACGTTGTAACAAAATTTAACAGACATATCATAATATTTAATCATCAAATTTACAGTTGTGAATAAAATGCAATAATTATTTTTAAATTACGTTAAAAACTAACATTCAGCAAGATTTCCGAAAAAAGATTATCACAGTTTACAATTTTGCAACATTGCCAATTAAATGAATAACTTATTTAAAAAATTTAGAACTGTGCATAACAATGTTGACAGATGATATTTTAAAATTGGTAAATAATTAATTTACAAAGATTAAAAATTTTATATTGAAACACCGGTATATACTGTAATAATTCTTATTTGTATGTAAATACGAAGAAAAATAATATATCGCTACAGAATAGTCTTCAATAATAGGTGACACTTGGTTCCGTAAACAAGAATTAAAGCAAAATTTACTGTAATTGCACAAGCGAATTATACATTTCCGTATAATGTGCGTCATTCAATTTTATATCTAATTATAAGTATTGCTTTATTCTTAAATTTTTTTATCTTGTATTTAGGGAAGAGTTATTGAATTTTGCAATCGTGTAAACCATATACAACGTAATCAATATTTTAGTTTCTTACTTAATGTAAGCATTCAATGATAAAAATATGAAACATTCAGTGATAAAAATATGAAATAAATGAAAAATAAGTAATATTATTATGTTCTGCCGGCCAGAATAAAAATTAGTCAGATAGAAATAAGTCGAAAAGTTGGTTGCTCCTAAGCGGGGGAGGAGAGGTGGAGCAAACATAAAAAATCGTTGTAAAATTGAATATTTTCTTGGATTTATTTTGTTAATAATTTTTTAATGACCGACGGTTAAAATGTCTTTAAAATCATGACAATATATGTCAAGGTCACGAACATTGGAGGAGGATATCTTTATCTTTATTTTCACCTGTTTATTGATATGAAAAGAACTCAAACTAGTGGTCTCTCTCTCTCTCGAAACATATAATTAGTGATTTATTTCGTCAGAGACTATATTATTATTTTATTTTACTCTGGAATGATATATATAATAAGTTCAGCCCTCCAACTACAATTCATGTTAAAGTTAGACATAGAATGTTTCATTCAAGCATTCGCGAGAAAAATACGTTTAAAGATTTAAGTGTTGTTAATGTACCGATCGGTAAGAACGAATTGGCGAGAAGCGGCGTGGCATAGTAGGATTGGAAACTACTCATCTGGGTGTTCCCCTTGTAAGTTTTTGGTCTGTTGTATAGACAGGTGTGCCGGTTTATGCTGCACCCCTATTTTTTATTTAAAATCATATATTATAAAAAAAATGAAAAAGAAAGAAATATAAATAAAATTAATTTAGAAAACTACGAACATGTGGAACTATGTAATATCATCAATTATATAACCACTATTATTTGAACTCCGCAATTTGCAAAAGAAAATCGTAAGAATTTTATTTTCGTATTTGTAGAATCCGTTTTTAATTGATTTTGTATAAGAACAAATCACAAGTATATGAATTATAAATTGTTTCTTCTTTAATTATCTAAACAGATTATGTTTTTGTCAGTATTAATAAAGTCCAATAGTTGTTTCCAAGAAATAAGTGAGTGTCTCTTTAAGAGATTTATGTCAGTTATCGGCGACTTTCTTCTATCATTATACATATATTTTTAACGCTGTTAATCGTAATATTATACAAAAATCATAAATATTAATATAAATTATAGAACATTTGCACAACTTACCGGAGTCTGCGTGAGATTTCGATGTACACGTATTTCGTACAGACAGCGCAGCTTTTCCAATTTGTTCCATTGTCATCACCTACATTACAATAAAATTCAATTTATATATTTTTTGTTTTTAATAATAAAATAATATAATGTATAATATACATAAAAAGAAATTACGAAAATATTACGGATATTTAATCACTTTAAATAAACTTCTTTTCAATATATTACTTTTTCAATAGTAGCAGTAATAGTAGTATTAATGTTGTAATAATTATGTTTATGTATAGGTTACAAAATACACCTCTTTTCTTAAAATCTTTATATTTTATTTTTATTTATAATTTACTGTTAGTAATATAGTAATGTCTTGAACTTTGTAAAGAATTCTCTATATTTTTTCTAAATATCTTATCAATTATTTTACAATTTAAAAAAACATAAAATTTTTTGGATATGTGTGAATTTAAAATTTAATTTTTTTACTTAAAAATAAAAAATTAATTTTTTTACTTAAAAAATAAGATATTGTCTAATAAGTTATTTAACAAATTGTATAACTTACAGCATTTGCTTGATTCACTGCGATCAACATAACTATAATTGTGCAAATTAATAAATGCGCACACATTTTAAAGTATTTTCGATTATGCATAAAAATAAAAATAAATTTAATCCGAAATATTCCCTTGAATTATCGACGCAATAAATTATTAATCCGCCGTGATTAGCTTTCGTTCCTCTTTTATAAAGACTAAGGTTGTCAACAAGTTGTTCGTAGTTAATATATCTAGTGGTAATTTCGTTTGGAAGCTTAATTTCGTAGTATTTGTCCGCATAAAATACATACTTTATGCAGAAATTATGTCGAGACGAAGTAAGAAGCTTCCGCGATTTGTCATATCGAAGAAAGAATTAACAATTTGCAACATACAATGATATGTCATTAAAATGTTTCAGTTGTAAATGTCTGCAGATAATTTGCGTTAGATCTTTCAAAATTAAAATGAAGGAACATACAAGGAAGGGATCTGGTTTTAATTATATCCGGATGATTCTGGTTTTAATTATATAAGGATTTATAACAAATGTATGTGATTATTAATTGTAGAAATATATAAAGCGTTGACAGGCATGGGAGAAAGTGTAAGAGAAGGCAAGAAAAACTGCAACTATTAACTTGCCAATGAATAACTTTCGCTAGTGGCAGCACGTATGAGTAAGAAGAATGGCAGTTCAAGGTAAATGGTTTATTGTAAGAGCGCCTCCACTGTGATAAAAGAATTTGACCTTAATATTAAATCGCTATTGAAGAATTTGAACAAAATATCAACAAAAATGCGAATTTGAATAATGTTTACTCGTTTGATATGATATAAGACGTATGCATTGTACATATATTTATATCTACGATCAAGATAGAGTGAGAAAAAGATTAGTTGAATTAATAAATTACATATTATACAACATTTTTCGTTCCTATTCTTAAAAAATATGTGTATATGCTTGTATAGTGGTCTTCTGTATCCAGGTATTTATTATGCTTTGTACATGTTTCATACTTTTAAAGATATGGAGTACATGGCTGAAGTTTCGGCAGTTTGTGATTAGAACTATGATTTTAGTATAATCCTGCTAGGCTTTGACAGTTTAAACGACGCATAATCCCTTGAATTTATACTCTTATAAAGTCTTGCAATCCACGTGCTTCTTTTTCTTTGCCTCATCCACGAGAAAGGTATATTTTTATGTCTGTCGGCTGTGGGGAAATTTCGAGGAAAACTTTAAAGACGAGAAAGTTTTAACAAATTATTTCTGCACCTGAGCCCTCAATCTCAATATCTTATCATTAAAACATTCACATTGTACTTGAAATATACAACGAGACCATAACGATTTATTCTTATTTTAAATACAATTGCAAAATGCGCAACACATTATTTGAGAATAATGAGCAATGTTCGTTTATGAGAATTTTAATACTCAAATATAATTAGCTCTAAATCGTTAATCCCTCAATTGTAGCAGTAGGTATCAGATCTTGCAAGAGATGGCTTTGTAATATTTCAGATAAGAACAGATGTATGCGTTTCAAAGACAGAAAATAATGCAAAAGAAACTGAGTTTGGAGTTAAAAAGCCTATATTGGCTGTGTTCCAAAATTTACTGCCAGTACTGAAAATCTATAGTTTACATTACGTGTACTATAGATATTTTCAGTATACTGGTAGTAAATTTTTTAACTCAATCATTATTGACATCGATCACGTTTGGCGCTCCAGTATCTCCTTAAAGATTGAAAATTACTTTTTCAAGACTGGCTTAATTTTCAGTTTTTAAAGTGAGATTCCTCTCCAAAGAATTTAGAAAGTTTGTATGCCGCCATCATTGAAAAAAGAAGTGTTTCATTTTAAGATATTAAAATGTTTTATTTTTGTCTCCATTTTTTAAACATTTAAGGATGTTTTAATTTTAAACTTTTTCAATAGACAAAACACTACGTGTTTGGATTTAAAACGCATAGTGTTTTAAATTCAAATACGTAGTGTTTTGTTTATCGAAAAAGTTTAAAACTAAAATATCTTTAAGGGGATGCTGAAGTGATCAAATTATCGCATAAAAATGTGCAGTGGATTTTATACTAAAATCGAAAGAATGTTAAAAAATGTTTTAACTTTTTTTCGATTTTAGTACAAGGTTTACTATTGCACCACCTCCTAAAATTTTGCGTCTACTTTAATCTTATATAAAAGGATTTTTTATTCCATTCAGTCAATTCGAAGATTTTTATGTATAAATGTACTGTAATGTATAAAACATGGAGACAAGAATAAAAGATATTACTTTTTACAGTGATATTACCTATTATACTATTAATTTATATTGTTAATTTTATTATTCCTATTGTGTTTTACTATCATTGTTATTATAATTATTCTAAGTCTATATGTCACGTAATTGTATTTATTTTTCCATTTTCTTTAAAACAATTTTTTGTCATGTCAACTATATTTTCACCTCCAAAAGTCTCTATACCCATCATTCATCTTAACATTGATCCATCTGGTGGCACTTCTTCCGAAAGAATATATAAATATTTTTAAGTTGCGAAGAAAGCGAGCATGGCTGGATTAGGAAGGACATTGTGTGGGATCGATATTGCAAAGAAGCAAAAGCATGCTGGGGCGGAAAAGATTTGTGATGAAAGCATGGATTTTACTAGCGCAACTAGCTATTGAACTCACTTCTTTTGAAATTACGGTCGCATGCTTTGCTGTGAGAAAAAGTTATCACAGCGCGAAACTGGAAGACAAATGATCATTCGCAAAGAACTTTGCGCTAAATTGCAAAAAGCCCGCGAGTTCTAATGATCGAGAAGATCATAAAATCAAAGTTCGTAGAAATTAGTATTTATAATTAAATGTTGCATTTTTTTAAAATTACAAGTGAGGTCAAATAGAATCGTAGATCACTGAATTTTTAAAGGTATTCATATATATATATATACATATAGATTAGAATTTAAATTATTATACGTGTTATTGCAGGGAAGATCCTGTTTGCCCACATTCCCGATTGCATACATCACTTATTAGTATAATACACAAGTTGTATACAAATTTTATTTCTCATATATTCTTCTATCATTTTATTATTCTGTGTCTTCTTACTTATTTAACATACAATTAATTATTTTAGTGTTACATTTTCGATTCTTTCAAAGTTTAATAACGTCAATAATATTAATTTACAATAATTTTATAAATCATTAATAATATAACTAAAACGTATAACTACATTTATTTAAAATACGTAGCAAACATAAAATTGTAAAATCTTTAATCGGCTTGGAGATGGAAAATTTTGCATTTGATAACATAGTTTAAGAGTCATTACTAACTTTAAATTCGCGACAGCGGCTTTATACTGGACGATATCGAATTACATGAATTCAGGTGGTTTCCAAGAGATTGAACAGATCGACCGAGCACGAAAAGCATTTACGATTTCCACTTTCTGGACACGAAAGAAACTCTTTACTCGCAACATCGCCGGAAGGAAAAGCTTTTATTGCCACCCCATTCGTGAGATACGTAGCTATATATACAGAATGAACCATATAATTCACAATCAGAGAGAATTTGTAGTAAAGTAATTTAATCTTTTTGTTTTAAGTAAAATTTAATTTAAGTAACTTATATGATGATTACATTTTATTAATTACCTTTTTTAAGAAGCAAGCAAATATAAGATGCAAAACTTGCATGAAAATAATGGTATAATGAAGATATACTGTTTATTTCATATATTAGATATTCTAGAACAGAATTACGCTCAATTTGAGCCCCGAGTGAACAGTTAGATATAAGTCATATATTAATCGATAGGGAACATTCACAGAGACGAAACAAAAGGTTTTAAAATTAAACTCTGGCGGACGTGTATGGATCCTATCCCTCTTCAACTTCAGCCCATGGCACATTTAAAAACGTAAGGCAAAAGGATGTAATTAGTAATTGACCAATCACAGTAGGGACGTACTAAAGATTAATGCTTTACGTTCTATTGTGATTGGCCAATTTACTGCTTAATTATTACTTTAGATTTTTTTATGTGTTTTTGGCTTTCCTATTTCTATTTGAAGCTCTCTAAAACACTGTTAATTGCTTTTGCTAGCACATGGATGTCTTCGTCAAGGTATTGGGCTTATCCCAGATACCATATGACTGCGTCCAGAAGTATTCATCATCATAATCCGAATGTTTCTGACATGACGGCATAGATCGCGTTCAAATTTAATCAGATTAATGAATAGTGTTAAATGGATTTCAAATATTACTTCAATATTTTTACAAACGGTTATTACCATGCGGAAGTGCCCTAAATGTAGAGAAGACTCAGTGATACATGCTATAATTATACACAAACATAATAGCAAAATTTGGACAGCTCTAGCATTCAGGACAGTTATTTCACAAGGTTGTGTTTGCGGATCTTTTGCATGTGCATGTGAGTATGCATGCGCGTGCGCGAGCGCGCGCGCGTTTGTGTGTATGTGTGTGTTACCTTGGACCTAATTTCCATAAGAAACTGGGCACAGTTCTTTGTCTTTCCTATGGATGTGAATTTTCCTTAATAAACGGTATTTTTTCATATACAGTATATAAAACTATATATATGTAGCTGTACAATTATATACATATACATGATACATATATAAACATACACATAGCTTTTTATTTAAACTTTATGTCGCGTTATTGAAATCATATTTTAAATGGAGAACGTACTTTTATTTAATTGGTAAGATAAAAATTTATTCATATTAGAAGGTTCCTAATACATATACTATATATATTTTAGCATCAAGTCGCTATAACCAGTCCTTACATATTGGTCCTCATATCAATATCAAAGTGTTCCTAATCATCCGTTTCTCCATGATATTCATTAATATACTCTCTTCAAGAATAGTGACGAAGAGGAGAAGGGAGGAATGACAAAATGGATCAGACGGGATGCCTGCGACAGTAATACAGTATCAGACATTTCTAGCGGACCGATTTGGATCAGTTCGGATGGTCGCTACGATCTCTATGGTAACGACGGGCACGACGGCTGGACGGCCAGCGAAATCGAGCATCTCTGAACAGTGTTGCCAATTCACTGATAGAAGAAATCTCAAAATTAGCCTTCAAAAATCTCTAGTTTTTCACCAAAAGCTTAAAAA